GGTTTACTGCCCCTACTGAGCAATGTAACTAGACTAACATACCATCCACTGAGATGTTGTGGAGTTGCTTTGACATGTACAGTTTTACACCTGACTTTGCTGCTCAGGTCTTCTGCAGAAAATGCAAAGACTTTCATACAGAAGAGTTAATATTCACCCTATCGGGTACAGTGACTATTTAGTGAGTTCATTCATTCATTTAGTGACTGATTATCTTTGCCAGATATTTAATACCAGGGCCACACAAATCTTACATAAATAGCAATACAGGGACTTAAAAATACACAACAGAACAGCTCAGGAAGACTGCCTTTAAACTAAAACAGTAAATGAGAGCTTGCAGGGCATTCAGTGCTGTCTTGGCATGAAAGAAGTGGTCCCATGTTCTTCACAGCCTCTGACAACACCCTGCCAGTCATTTGCAGCCTTCTTTTCCTGCAGTGGGAGCAAGACAGCCAGCAAGAGAGAAATAAATGGACATTACTAAAGCTAATTCTGTAGTCTAATAAAGGCTAGTTCTAATTCTAATCACCCAACTCTTCTGTAACAAGATGGTACACATGTGTGTGGCACGTTATTGCTCATTTGTCCGTTTTTCTATTAGCTTAATGCACACCAGTTCCTGCAAGGGGTATCCTTCTGAATGGGCTAGTGTGACTGAGAACCACAAGGAACAGAGTGGACATTAGGGCCTACCATTGTGTTATTGCAAGTACTAAAGTAAAAATCATCTCTTGACCAGGTTCAAATTAAAGTTACGTATTATTTAACAAGACCAAACTAATTAATAGGCTTTGCTAAAATGCCTACAGCTCTTAGCCATCTGAACTGGAGCCTGGCAGTATCTCTTTAGTGACCCTGAATTGCAGGGCTGCTTCTGTTAATTGGGGACAGCTCCTGCAGATTAATGACAAAATGGGAAAGCTGATAACCCTTTTACCTGGGGCCAGCAGCTCTTGGCCATCTCTTGCTGGAATTACTGTGTAAAAAACTTCATTTTAAACATTAAAAGCCTATCTTCTTTCTTATACAGAAATGTGCAAAAGCACAAATTCCCTTCTGAATTTCAAAGCTTCTCATTTGCACGTGCTCCCATTACCCACTAGATAGTATGCAGAGCACCACATTGGTCCAGATTTCCCCGACTTCTCCTGATCGTATCTGAACTAGTGACTTACACCATGTATCAGCAATGTGGGCGACGGCATGGTACTGCTTAAACAGGGATGCTAATAGGATGCTGTTGTCCTCTCCCTGCAGAACACCATGGCGGATGCTCCCCAGAGCTTGCAGTGCACGTCTCCCGGCGCCATGGCATCCCCTTCTCCAGCCCGCCTCACACACGGCTGCAGGAGAGAAGAGGCCCAGCGGTGGCTGATGACTCTCAGTCCCTCCTTTGCCCGCAAAGCCACGATGATAGTGTATTTGGGGAGACAGAAGCAGGCTGCACGAGCACAGTAGCTCCTCCGGGGATTTGACTGTTTCTGAGCTCAGGGT